AATATTAGGAAAGTTTCTTATTTTCTGACTGCATTTAATCTAACATCTTTTGATTCCTAAAGTGTACTTTTCAGGAGGTTGCTATCATATTACAAAAACACACAAAAAAGTTAAAAAGCATCAAAAATGTTTTCGTCCTTATACCCATTTTTGCATAAAACCTGCTCTTGGTGGGCCAAGCCACATTTTGCCTCTGGGAGGTGTTCCCAGGCACAGGCTGGCAGCAGGGAAGGTGGGGAGCCCATGCCCAGCAGAGCTGCAGAGCTGGGGACAGATGCTGCCCCCAAACCAGCCCTCGGGGCTCTGCGGGGCTGCCGGCAGCAGCCTGCTGGTATTAGCCAGGATCGTGCAAAAGCACAAGCGAGGGAGAGAGTGTTTATGGAGAGAGCCTTGGAGATAATCGAATTAAAGCCAGAGATCAGAAGTGTGCTGTGGAAAACATTTTTGCTTAGCATAATTTGATAATTAGAGCTGAGCACAAGGTAACACGAGACCGTAATAAAGAGCCAGACGTAACACGGAAAATGAAGTCCTGGTTAATTCAGGCTTCCCAAGCACTGCTGCTAGAGCCGAGCTGGGGATCCCTCCCGCCAGCCCGTGGTGGGGGCCAGGCTGAGCCCCCCCCGGGGGAACTGCCCCACTGCCAGCAGGCACTGCCTGCTCCTGTCCCACCATGGGCACGTGGCCCTTTTGAGTGAGAAACATGGGGTTAAAATTCTGTGATTCTGGGGAGAAATGAGGCTATAGAAACTCCCCCAGCACTGCTTCCCTTCCCCTCCCTGCTTTGGCATGGGGGTTTCTTGGGGGGAGACCTGTGCTGTCCGAGAAGGTGGGGATCAGGGTGGGAAAGGCTGAGCTAAAGACCCCTTAATTGCGGCCTTCAGTGCGGTAAGTGTAACACCACATCACTCTGTTTAGGGGATTTTGTGTATCTCTACCATCAAGGCTACATTTGTCTGTAGGATTAATCACTTTTTGATCCAGAGGGTTTAAGACAGACAGCTTACTAGGAATGTGCCGCCTGCCTCTCCCAGGCTGGCAATTAGCTTTGTTTCTTCGTATTGTCTTGTTTATTATGCCCTTCTTGGTCTATTTTTTTTTTTTTTCTGACCAGCAAGTAAATACACTAATTCATTTTTAATCCATTTTTAACTGTGCTTTTAAGAGACTTTTTAACAGAGGATTTTTAGTAAAAGCTCTACGGTGAATACAGAAAATGAAAACCTCTCAGTGCTAGGCAGAGAACAGGTCTGTAGATGATGCTGTGAAAAAATCCTTGGAGAAACCCAAAGACATCATTTTGCTCTATTTTAGTGCTTTTTCTGTAGATGTGCTGAGGTTCTCCTGTTTGCCAGAAGGTCATCAAGACCCTGAATGATACCCATTGCCAATTAACTGGAATGCAAGTAAACTTCTGTGGGACACTAGGTTGTACATCCCATGAAGGAGAAATCCATCCCAGCAGCTGTGTGAGTACACGTGCACCCTTCAGAGGCTAAGGACCAATCTCTTCTCAGGCTGTTTTCTCCTGCATTTCATTGTCTGGGTGGCACAGAAAGCTCATGCCTCAGTGCCCCATCATGTAGCCTTTTCTGCCGTAATCCCAGGCTAGCTAGCACAGGAGACGGATAATGTCTTTAGTCCTTCACCTGTGTACAGTATGGATGTAGGGAAAAGGCAGGAAACCATCCTTGAGGCCTGCACTGAAACTGTCTGCTGAGGATGCGGCTGGGAGGTATCCATGTGCCATTCTGGCTTGGAGTCGCACACATATGGGACCTGGGAGCTACTGGCGAGGAACATCACGCTTGGCAGAGACCCTCTGGACCTGGCAGCTTGCTCGGTGTCTGGAGCCAACCCAAAGGCACTTGGATGCTACCCAAGGGCTCGGGGTTCTCCTGTTTCCAGATGTGGCTGTCACGAGTCTTCTGGGTGACCTTGGTCAAGCAAGTTCTCTGCTCTGTACCCGTTTCTCGCTCCGTAATTGTGGTAATGATGCTGGACCACTTTGCTACAGGGTTTTGCTGCATCCTGAGGACAAGCACAGTCTCGGGGCTGGCTATTGCTGTGTGGAACAGCAGTTGGCTGCTGTAGCTTCAGTGCACTGAGCCAAAGCTTATAGAAATACGTGGGAGTTGTGCATTGACTACAGTCAGTTTTGGATCAGATGCTAAAAGATATATATATATATATTATATATGTATATATATGTATATATTTTTTTCTTTCTTTCTTTATTTTTTTTTTCACCATCACACATCCCCAGTGTGGACTTACTATCACGGTCTGAGCTGGATGCAGCACACGCCACTTTTTCCTACCACAGGCAGTCTGTCTTCCTTCTTCCTGGCTCTTTTAATAAATGTAACCTTTTCTCCTATGGCTTAGGCATTGTGTCGAACCTCACCGACAAATGTTCTCAGGTTTTTAAAATATTCGGTATTAAAGAGATCAGGCCAGATGTGTTCTGCTGCCTTCATCACTCTAGGTTGTGTACTCTATGTTGAAATGATTATTGTCATCACCCAGTGAAAGGCAGCTGATGAAAGACTCTCTCCCTCTGATGAGCTATCCGTCCGCCCATGCCTGGTGCAGAGTGCACAGGTTTTGTTTTTGAGTGATGTATTGCTGTGTCAAAGTGGCTTATGTGCTGCTTAAACCTGCGCTGGTGAATGATAGAGAGCATGTATTAAACAATCTCATTGCAACTGGAGCTGTATTTTCTCACCCCCAGCTTCGGGAGCACCACAACCGCCCCCGGCGTGGGCCCAGCAGAAGGCTGCGCTCCTGCTGAGGGCTCGCCAGGCTTTGTCATGAGCCCCCGTACCCGTGAGCGGCTGCTGCCAGCTCCGCTGTGCTTGAGCAAGCTGCTGCCTGTGAGTGAAAAGCTGAGGTGATTTGAAAGTAAAATCACTCGGAAATCACACATGAAAGAGTGGCTTGGGTCTGGGTCTGGCTGATTGTGACGGCATTGATATTTGGACCTACTCCTCCCCGTTTCAGCTGCAGCACGTACAGGAGGCCCAGCGGTGCCCCCTGCCTCCACAGCCTGTGTTAAAGGACCTGAGTTCTTCCTCTGCGGGCCGGAGAGGTGGCAAGGACATGGTCTTTGCCTTGCAGATGTCTTGCTGATCCTTGCAGGTGTGATCAGACTTCTGCCATTTCACATCCTCTTACCTGAGTTCATGTGAAAGAGACATCTGGAGATCCTGTTTTGTGGTTGCCATGAGAAACAGCGGCTACATCTTCTGAAGTTCATATTAACCTGTGAATATTTCAACGCTGGGCCTTGTTCAGGTACAAGCTTCATTTAACCTCAGCAGCACCCCAGACCTTGGTCTCTTCCTCCTCCTGGTCTGGATGCTCTCAGTAACCTGTGACTGAGCCAGGTTGAGCCAGGCTGTCTGCAACTCCAGCTGAAATGCCTGCTTTTGCAGGGTACTTGGCAATACCCAAATGAGGAGCGCTTTCCAAAAATGTCTCTGAAAGCCCTGCCAGGTATTTTCATTGTGTGCCAATCAAACAGCCTCCCCTGGTGAGTGTGAGCTGGGCAGGGGCTCCTGGAGCAGGCGCAGGGGTATAGCAGTGTTCATCTTCGTGTGCTAACACTGCATGTTTCGAGAGGGCTGCCACTTGGTACCAACCATCCTAAGTCTTTCTGGAAAAAATGATTGTTCTTTTATGTCCACCCTGCTCTGCTGATGTAGGAAACTGCTTTGCGTAAGCAATTTTGAAATGTTTCGGATTTGGATATGTGTCCCCTAAAACCTTTTCTGTTTTCAAGTAGTGTAGATTATTTGTTCTTCACCTTCCTTTTACTCTGCTTTGTTCCTCATTTTTTCAACCATTTGCAAGACTCAGCAAAAATAGATAAGAAATAAGAAATAAATAAGAGAAAGGGGAGAGTATAATAAAGAAGAAGGGATAGGGAAAGGGGAGACTGCAATGCTGACACTTTGGATCTATTGCCAGTCCCCCAAAACATCTCCAAAGCATTCATCTGATGAGCAAAAATGATTTGAATGCAAATTTCAGTTCTTCAAGACTTCACTTCCACAATCCTTCAGTATATTTGCTAAATTCCAGCAAGGCTGAGCAGAGCGCCTAACACAAACAGGACCTTTCCAAACAGCTGCAATTATTAACAAAAACAACAACAAAAAAAACAGACACAGACATTTTCTGTGTAGTGACACAATCAAATACTTAACCAAAAATAATGTAATGAAAGGTCTAGGTCACAAAATGGAGTGCTGCAGCCTGGAAAAATAGTTTTTTGACCTTCTGGATTTCCTCTGTTAGAGGACTACTGTGCAGTGAGCAAACCCCATTTCTTACAACAAAGAAATTTAGCAATCTGTGAGGCTATGTCACCTTGCTGGCAGAAACACTGAGCGGCAATAGTGATGAAAGTCAACACTAATAGCTGACACCAAATTAAACTGCCAGAGTTTGTGTGATGTAGTTCTGTCACCCTTTGACACATTTGATGTGAATTCAGAGCCTTCTGCTGTAAACTCATCAGCAGAGCTCATGACGCATCATCTTTACATATCTGTCCATCCACATTTGTCAGCAACAGGCGCGCCTTAGCTGACTCCAGCAATGGGGATACAGATTGCTTTACCTTCACCTGTAGTAAATTGAGTGTTTTAACACTTGTGATACCCTCCGCTCCGGCTTTTAACTGACAAAGTCTTGTTAGCTGCACTCCAGCCCTTCTGTGTCCACGCTGAACGTGGTGATTGATGAGGGCTGATTATGGCAGGAGGGTGGCCCATCCCTTCTTAACCTGTGGCTCAAATCATCTGCTGTTTGCCCATGCAGAAGAGCAGCAGGCACACTCCTGAGTGTCTTCATGAAGTGCCTGATTGAAAGGCCATAGCCAATTAGGCTGGGCTGAAACGGACACTTGCAGGATGGCTCTGCCTCTCCATTCCCCCGCGGTGCCTGGAGAAGCAGGCACCAGCCCCTAATTTCCATGTGATCTCTGGACTTACCAAAGGAATGAGCACAGGCCCCCTCGGATGGCAGTAGGTCCCCACCGCGGTGGTGGAGCCCGGGAGCTCGTGCGATGCTCTGGGTGCAGCAGGACAGGCTGCCCGGGTCCGTGCCCTGCTCATCTCCCCTGTGGATCAGAAAGGAAAAGGGTCTGCGGTTTCTGTTTGTCTCCATGGTATTTAATACAGTTGCTAGCTTCAACAGCATCTCATTTGCCACGTATTGCCCTAGAATATTTAATATCTTGAGTCATTTTCTCCTACTAATTAGCTTTGCTATCTATCTGTGCAATTTGCCATGGAAAGAAAGCTGTATTTAGACACACGGGGAGAACAAACACAGCAAGAAAAAGGAAGCAGATTTTTTTTCTTTCATGGGTTTGAGTTCTATAAGTCTATTTTAACATATGGTTTAAAACACTAGCCTGATAAGGTAGTATGGATCAGATCACGTTTATTCGAGTGTGAGCTGTAACAGGATGGGAATAGAAACACGATGTCCTACAAGGAAAGCCACTTTGTTTTCACCTGCATCTCCAAATCTTCTTCTTATATACCTTTGGCATAAAAACATTGCACAGCATCCTGTGTTCAAATGACCCTTTCCATTACTAGAATTATCTCTGGAAAATGATAATAGAAGATTTCCACCTTTGGAAGAAGACCGAATCTTGTGCCGGGTCAGAGGGTGGGAGAGCAGGTCAGACTGAGCCTGGCAACATCTTTTTCCTATAGAGTTTGTGTGTGTCAGTAATAAAACTTTCGACAGAAAGCAGGAAAAAAAAATATTTGCTGATTTTTTTTTTTTTAATGTTTCCTCTTAAAAATTCTAATCTGGAAAACTTTGCAAAAGGGTGGGAAAAAAGCACCTAGAAGCTTTAAAAGTATTTCCCAGCAACATCAGGTGCCACTCTGCTATGTGAAGGGAGCGTTGTGGAGCACCATGTGAGATTTAATTTCGTGGTGTTCTAAGCGTCATGCAGGGGTCCTCTGGAAATGCCTTTCCTGGCTATAATTCATTCTAAGGCCCACAGGAACTGTGTGTAACATTAAAATAAAACTTGGAGTGGCTCTGTAATGGGTGCGCTGGGAGGAGCGGGGTGGCTGGGGAGAGCCCACACGGCCGCACTGCCCGCAGCCCCCCGCCCGCCGCAGCTGCAGGCACTGAGCCTTGTGCCGTGCCCAGAGGGAGGGCAGGGGAAACGCTGACAGCTCTGGATAATTAGGACACTTCGAGGCATCGCTGTAATTACTGCGCAGAGGCTTCTGGCATGCAAACAGTATGAGGGTACATCTTGTGCCTGGCTTGTTTTATCTGCCCGTGTGGCAAAGCCCCTGAGGACAGGTAGCCAGAGCTTCTTTGTGCACTTTTTGAAGCACTGGTGGCTCTCCCAGCACTTTATGGTTACTTGCTAGTGTCAGTGGCAATTGGGCTAATTCAGTGCTTATTTCCCAAATTCCTGCTGATAGATTGACTGCACGGTGCAGACGCCTGGTGCAGAGATGCTCGATGGACTACAGCTTTTTCTGCAGCCTCCTGAGGGGGAGAAACATGAAGCCTGCACCTACACAAACTATTTATAAAAGCATCTGACTTTGGCTTTTGTGTCATGTCAGCACTGGAGCCGGGGTTGCTTGTCCTATCTTGCACTCTCTTGGTGGGCAGCAGGGACAGGCAATTCCTGATCTGCAAAGGGGATTGTCCCACCCCCCTGTATTTGGCACTTTCCTGAGTAACGAGCAACATGTCTTATGAGCACATTTTATGGCACTCTTGGTCAGGTAAAGTTTTAAATTAGATGAGTTAAAATGGATCACGAGATGCAAAGCAACCATCTCTGTTATTATCTGGACTGCGGCCAGTACACCGCAGCATTTCTGCAACTGCTCTGCTAGTCTGAAGAATAATTACCTGGAGATAATGCTACATGACAGGCAAAAATAGAGCAGTGAGGCAATGGGCCCCTGCCTCCCCTTCAACACAGCCTCCAAACGCGGAGGCCACCGATGCTGTGACGAGTCCGACCCACACAGAGCGGGCAGCGCCTGCTCTGGGAAGCAACGGGGCCGAGGGAGCTATTTTCTAGGTATGCTAGAGCTCTCGGCATGATAACTGCCTCCTGCCTTTCCTCCCCCTTGGACTCGGTCTCCCAGCAGCACTGCCCTAGCCCAGCAGCACACACACCACAGCGACAGGCCCCGAGGTGCTGAATTTCGGCCATTGGGCTGTTTGTGTGATGGATGGAGGGCTTCCCGGCCCTGACAGAGGAATATTTAAACAAAGTTATTTAAATAAGTTCTCTGGATAATTAGATATTGTAGCACCCTCTTCTGGCTTTCTGCATTCCCTGGGCTGCGGCCAGCTCTCCCCGAGAGCCCTTTCTGCCCACAGGGGCGTGCCGAGGAGCCCCTATTTCCCCCACTGCATCCCTCACAATGAACCTTTCTGTGCAACCTTTTTCTGAGCAAAATCCCTTTTCTTATTCTTTAGTAGGTGATGATGGAAAGAAAAATAAAAACCTAGCTTCGCACATTTTAGGTGGTTTCGACCACAGCTCTCCAGAGGGGGTTACCCAAAGCCGGGGAAAGGGGAGCCCTGGATGTGGGGCGGGCAGCAGGGGCACCACAGGGCTCGGGGCACGGCTTGGGGCATGGTGGCCCTGCGAGCAGCGGCGCATGGGGGTCCCTGCACTGGCCCTGGCACCGTGGCCAAGGCAGCCGTGGGCTTCTCGCCAGTTTTGGGGTGTTGCTCCTCCTCTGACGGCCTCACCGTGAACCCTGAAACAGGCAGTCGTAACTCACAGCACGGGTGTGCAAAATTCCCCCTAAGAGCTAATTAACTGCGAGGATTAATATTGCTGTTTTAGGATCCACAAAAGTCATTATACCGTTATAAAATAAACTCTTGAAGAATAATTCACTTTTAAAATAATACATTGCTTTCCTTTTATCCAGTAGGTTAAAGTACTTTGTTCCTTGGTACCAGCTTTAAATTTTTCATGTCAGGGTGAAAAGCAATTTTTTAATTATAATTTTAATGCATCTGACCATATTTCGTAGTGATACATTTTGAACCCAACTTGTAAAGGTGTCAGAAGAAAATATGACTATTCCATAGAAATACCTGAGCCATAAGAACACAGTTGAAATAACTTAGTGCTTTTAAAAGTGCCAATTATTTATTTTAAGTGTGATATTACATCTGTCATTAGCACGGCATGAAATACTGGGTGCGTTATTAGGAAGGGTCCAAACTCAACTGTTTCAAAGCTGACAGAATCCGCATGAAGACGAGACACTAGGCCACAGCTCCTCCAAAGCAAAACCCGGCCTTAAATCCATTTTAACTCATTTCCCTGGCTCTCTCCTGTAGGTGACAAGGGCACCCCGCTGCCTGCAGTCCCGTGTGCTTTGTGTGATTCCCCTCGGGGCACGGGGCAGGTCGGATGCTGTGACGGGCAGGGGATTATCTTTGCTTGCGGACTCGGCAGATGGAGAGTGGGACCCATCACCCCTAGCAGGAAGCCACCTCTGCTGCCAGGCTCTGGTCGCTGGGATTTAAAAGGGCCTTAAACCGCAGCTCATAGGGAGTGACAGGAGCACCACAGCTCTGACAGCAGCACGAGACAGCAGCGAGCACGTTGAGAAGGTAGGTGCTCGTGCAGCACCCGAGAAAAATGTATCCCTGCCGGCTCTGAAGCTGTGAATGAAAATGCTGCAGTCAGATGGGAAAAGTTGGGCATTTTGGAGAGTGAAGGAGGAGAAGACCAGGGTGGTCTGTGTACATAATACACCCAGGGAGCCTGTTCAGGGTAGAGCTCTTCCCACCTAGCTCCCTCACAAGGCTTGGCACAGACCTATGTTGGTATTTCTTCCTCAAATCATCCCATGTACTGCTTGGTGCACCTCCTTGTCAGCTGTGGGAGCCCCAAAAGCCAGCGCTGGAGGAGCACAGCAGAGCAGGAGGCTGCTGTGTAAATCAAAGCAGCAGCTGCCTCCAGAAGCACGGTGAATTTCTCCCTTTCAGACAAATATCTCTTTCCCCATTTATGATGGACCAAAGGTCGAAGATAGCTGCTCCACCACTTCCATGGCTTCCCTGAAATGTTATGCTCTGGAATTGCCATCAGGTTTAATGTTCTTATTTTATGTAACGAAACAGCAATTGTTCCAGCTCTGCAGCTGAATGAATTCACACTGCAAAAGACAAAAAATTTTAAATAAGTTTCAGAAACTGCTCAGAGCTTCAGCCAGTGGTGTTACATTAGATTAAAAGCAGTGATAAGCAGTATTTACTTGGAAAACTCTGAGCAGCAGACATACCTGGAGAATTCCTTCTGAACCTAATATCAATGCATTTGAGAGGGGAAACCATCAGAATATTTACCCTTTTGTACAGCTTCATCGACCTTTTCTTACAGCCTCTTGTTAGCTTTTCCCTTTGCAGGTTTTTGGTATAGATCCTTGGTTATAAGTCTACAGTTCTCTGACATGTTATTGCTTTGTAGGAAGGAAGGTCTTTTTGTTTTACACTTTTTAAATACAAAACCTCAAAATGATTGCCTCTTCAGTAGTATTTTTACATAAGTGGGGTCCAGCCAACAAAACCCCCCTTGATTTTGATGGTTACAAAAACCATGGGTGAACTTTAAGGGGAAAACATTATTAAGCCTTAAAGGTGACAGTCGGATTTTCACAGTACCTTCAAATCTGGTAGAGATGGTGGATAACCTAAATGCCAAGCACATGTCCCTTACAGTAATGGGTCACAGCCTGGGGCTGCCTGGAGGCCCCTCTGAAACACCAAAGGAGGATTTCCAGCTCTTACAAAGCCAAATGAGAGCTGCTGAGCTGTTTTCATTTTTTTTTTTTTTTTTTTTTTTCCCAAGGTTCATTTTATAATTGCCATGAAATGATCCCAGAGGAGCTCTACTCTTCACCCCACCGGAGGAAAGAGCACCCCAAGCTCTAGCCACATTTGCAGAGCTTGACATTGTTCTTTATTCCTCTCCCGGCAAGTGGAAATGGAGCTATCTAAAGGCACAAGGTGTAGTTGTGATGCTGAGGCAGAGGCAATGAGCAGCAGACGCAGAGCCCCAAGTTATCTCCAGTCTCTCTGCATTTACTC